CTCAAGCTATCAGAACCTACACTTCCCAATTCTGGAAGAATAATACTGTCTCTAACCTTAAATACCTCTCTCCAGGAGAAAGCTACGTAAGAGTTTTGGAGACTGTTCACAAGAAACATCAAAGTCATGTGTTCCAACATTAGGCGTCCTTCATTGATCTCGTCCATCCTGAAGCAACCCTGATTGCTATTTCCACAAAACTTCTCTGGGTGTCTTGTACACCACACTGACCCTGTTTGTTTTTTTGTTTTTTTTTTTTTTGTTTGTTTTGTTATTGTGTTTTGTTTTGTAATACTGGAGATTAAATCCAGAAAGTGTTGAGTGGCATTGTCCCCAGCCCTTTAAGTTTTATTTTGAGACAGTCTCTAAGTTGCCCAGGCTGGTCTTGAACTTGCAATACTCCTTCAGCCTCCCGAGTAACTAGGACTACAGGCATCATGTGCTTCTGGGTCTGGCCTGACCCTCTCATTGTTTTTCTTTCGTTTCTTTAAAAGCATAGCCTTGAACTCATGGCAGTCCTCCCTGCCTCAGTCTCCTGAGTACTGGGATTATAGGCATGAGCCACCACACCTAGCCTGACCCTCTTAATATTAACTATTCTTAACACCTTTTTCATAACTGCAATTCTACATCTTTCCTTTAGCTGGAAAAGGGAAACCTGTAATTTCAAGCCCTCAGGTGTGTACTAAGTACACTCTAGATCATGATGACTTCCATGCAATACAAAGAAACACTAACCCTTTCTTCTTTTGAGTATCTTCCTACCATCAAACAGAAGTCAAAAGAGCACCATTCTGGCCCAAGCTCAGGCACCACCGTGGCACAAAGGCACCGCCCTGCTGACCCCCGGATTCCATCAAGCTATGAATCTGATGAACCCTCCTCATAAATGCACTCTGGCTCTCTTGGTTTATTTCTTCCATTTCTTCTCAAACAAGCACAGGCCTCCTCTAAAAACGTCTTTCACTTTTAGCTGCTCCTCCTTACTGCTGTTCTTCCCTCCATTTATTGCCAAATTTCCCTAAATTGGGTGGGCGACTAGAGCCACAACTCTTACCTTTTTATCATTTAATTTTTCCTTAACCCATAAAATATGGTTTCCACCCCCTTCACCAATAAGAAGGCGCTCTAGAACACCATCAATAAGTTCTTTTTAAAGCTTTTCTTGTTGTGAAAGGTTTCACACATGTACAAGGGAAAACAAAGGAATGCCTGTGTACCCATCACCAAGCTGCAACAGCTGTCCAGTCTGCCATTCCTGTTTCAGCTATACCTCTACCATCCTCTACCATGATTCAGTTATTTTAGTGCTTCATCAGATAAAACTTACCTACATTTTAAATGTGCTTTTCGTTGTAACCGTAAACTGTAAGACCCCATCAGACACAGAACATCTTAGTCTCTCTCTAAAAATTTGCACATGTTCTTTAATTCTTTTTTTATTTTTTTAAGAGATAAGGCCTCACTATGTTGCCCAGGCTGGTCTCAAACATGCCACTCTCCTGGCTCAGCATCCAACCAGCTGGGACTACAGCAAGAGCCACCTTGTTCTATCATTCCTTAAAGAAACAAATCCTGATGCCTCTTCTCAACGATCAACCTTCTTGACTTCTCGACAGCAGCAGATGTTACTGACCGCACTTGTTTCTTGCAACACCTTCTTCTTGATTTCTGTGATGCAAACATACTTAAGTGCATTCTGAAGTGATGTAACTTTTATCCCCAGATACACACTAAGTCTGTTCTTCTCCACCTCCAGCTCATGACATTCCTCGAAGAGGCTGAAGGCCTCTGTGGCCTTTCCCTCCATCTAGAACACTGTTCCCTCGCTCTTCACAAAGCAGGCTCTATTGTCCTTTAGCTCTCAGCTCAAATCTCTGTCCTTAAGAACCTTCTGACATATGAGTTCTTAAGTGACAATAAAATCTTACTAATAAGTACACTTACTCTAACTTCTAGGTTCTAGAGAATGTTGATTCTAGGCGCCCCACTTAGTTGAGGGCCACTAATCTACCTGTTGTTTGGATTCCCTAGAATTTTCCTTATTTGTAGGACAGTTTTTTTTCCTAACAAGAATATGACCGATATCACCTTACTGTCAAGTGATGAAAACTGCCTTACAGATGTGATATGCAGTTGAGAGCTAAGGAACATTTTAGTTGGGGAAGGAAATATTTTCATTATTCAGTCTAAAATAAACTTTATTCTGGAAGTTTAGTGAACATTATGAGTTGCATTATGGTATTCATAGGTAACTTGCATACAGCATTTTCTTTTGAAAATGATTTTTTTTCATGCGTGATTTTTAAAAAATGTTGTACCAGTTATGCTCCATGCATTTTACATCTTCATCAGGTCAATGGAATGTCATTTCCAATAAATACATTGCTGCAGTTAAAAAAAAAATCTCTGTCCTTGAGTAGCCAAAGCTCCTCTTCCCAGTCACTCTGTAGCACATCCCTTCATTCTCTCCTCTTCACAGGACTTACCGTTAGCTACTGTTATTATCTTTATTGGTATTTGTGTCTCCTGCTAAAATGTAAGTATCGTGAGAAAAGGAACCTTATCTTTTTGGTTAACTGTATCCCCTGAAAAACACATTTAAGAATTACTGAAAAAGAAGGAGATTTAGCTGAAAACCATTATGTTTTGCAGAAAATTCCCCACCTGCTCTCAAAACCAGCCACCTTTCCTGACTTCTTTCTGTTCAAACACCCAAAAATCAGGTTATCACAGTACTATGATAAATTCCCATATTAATATGAAGTCATTACAAATACAATATTTTAAAAAAGGAAAAGTAACACAGGGAAAAAATATATATATAACTTGAATTAAACCAAGGTTGATGAAATTATGATCTCATTTCTGGCAACAAAAGTATCTATTTATGCAAATATATAGAGAATATTTTTTAATTGATTTTTTTTTTTTTTTTTGTCTTTTTGAGACAGGGTCTCGCTATGCACTTCAGGCTGGCCTTGAGCTCACTTTGTAGCCCAGGCTGGTCTCAAACTCACAATGATCCTCCTGCCTCAGCCTTCCAAGTACTGCGATTACAGGTGTGTGCCACCAAGCCCAGCTCTTTAATTGATTTTAAACTGTTAAAGTATTAGGTAACTGAAAAACCAAAAAAGCTAGTCTTTTTTTTTTCCTCCAAAAATAAAGGTAGAAGAAACAATAAAATATTCTATATTGGTCTAATTACACATTCATCAAACAATCTTCCAATTACAACCTAGCTTTCCAGGGAGAGAATGTATTATTAGATAGAGGATCCTAGAATCTAGTCTTCCTTAACATTGTATTTTCTTATAAATTAGTAACTTCAGGACGTTGGGGGAAAGGGTGTATTGTAACCCAGAAATCCGGGGGTGTGTCTCGGGTGTCCCAGGATGTGTGTGCCTTTATGTATGGGGGAAGATTCCTACTGTACATGTATTCCACAGGACCCGATAAGCTCACAATCAGGTGCAGGGTTTTTCTACAGGGATCTGATCAAAGTCTACATGTCTCTATTTTTGGCTACAGAAAAAAGGAATAGACTTGAGGGAAGGGAAAGAAAGAAACAAGGAGATAGGGTGACATCTATCCCCCCACAGACAGATCACAACCTTGTTTGTGGGTATGGGGGATGTTAGAAAGACCAAGAAGGAGCAGTTTGCAAGAAAGATGTGGACACAGGGTATAGGCCGTGCGTCTCTGAAGCCCAGCTCATGAAGTACAACGGAGCTGTGGAGGGTGCAGCCTCTCTAAACTCAATGAATTACAGCAGGAGGCCAAGAGACTGTGAGACCAGTATGAGGGGAACCCAGCAACACTTCTTTCCTTTAAAAAAATTTTAAAAACTTACTGACATGAAATTCACGTAACACAAAATCAACTATTTTAAAGTGAACCATTCAGAGGCATCTAGCATATTTACAACATGCGACTCCCACCTACGACTGGTTCCAAAACATCTTCATCCCCAGAACTGGAAACTATGAAACACTAAGCAGCTACTGCCTATTCCCCCAGCTCTCCCTACCAACCTCCAGAGACCAGCAACCTACTCAGTGTATAGATTCACTTATTCTGCACATCTCATATTAATGCAGCAGGGCACTATGCAATCTTTTGTGTTTAGCCTCTTCCACTTAGCATGGTTTGAAAGCTTGTGTGACATTTTAACGCCGCTCCGCATCTGCTCTGGGAGGAGTAAGGCAGCAGTGGCAGACACTACCTCAGGTGGATGTTGAGCAGTGCACAATGCTGAGAGGCTAAAGACAGTTTAGGAACCTTCAGGAGCTCCCAAGAGGAACTACAGCCAATTCTGAAGGAGAAAAGACAGGTGAAGGAGTTACTAAAGGTGCCACGTGACAAGGTCATGAAAGAACCAAGGAAATTCAGGACATGGAGGTAGATGGAAACAAAATACAAATAAACACATAGATACTTATTTTTTGTACACAGCATGACAATAAAAACATTCCTTCATTTTTGACTAGAAAAAAAAAAACCCAAACCAAACAAATTACTGCTTAAAAATCTGTAATAGAGGGCTAAGGGTATCATAGCTCAGAGGTCCAGCACTTGCCTAACACACAGGAGGCCCTGGCTTCCACCCGCAGCACAGCCGAGAGGAAAAAAAAAGGCCAAAAAATTACCAGGGACTGCTTCTGTGTGGCAGGATAGGGATAGGCTTTTACTTTTTGTCATATATACTTTTAATTTGATTCATTTTTAAGAAGTATATAACTTTCACAATAAAATTTAAAATATACAGTACACATCTAAAAATGAATCATAAAGTTCAGTAAAACATTTTAAATTTGTCATATGGCACAACAAAAACATATACTGAGAAGAAAAAAAAAAATCTCAGACTTTGTTAGATTCTAATTGAAGTCACCCTAATTTCCAAATTCACCTAAAACAAAATCGTCATTCTACTCATCTACTGCCGCTACCATTTAATTTCTGTTCAAACTGTTTGTACCATTAAACAACTTACTGACCTTGGAGCTGCTTTCCTCCGATACTTCTCCCTCATTGGTTTGCATGGGACCAGATTCTGTGCAAAACTCTGCAGAAACACACAAATACTGCCTGAAAGGTAAGAAGAGAAAACATATGTAAGCAATTCAGGACAAAACTTTTTTTGTTTTTTGTTTTAAGAATTCAGGTTAAAATTCTGTCTCTGAGATCACAGATACTATGAAGCAATGACCTTAAGTAACTGAGGTGCGCATGTACGCCCGTGTACACACGGATATATACACGCATCTTAGTAAGAACCAAGTGGGAAAGAGGTGGAGTGGGGATTGAGAGGAGAAGGAGAGCCGGGAAAAGCTTAGAGCACTGGAATAGTAATGGGTCTAGACTTCCTGCCCTGTCTTATGTGGCTTTTGGCAGAAGTGATAGTGGAAATCTTCAATGATTCTTTTTTTTTAATCTTTTTGAGACAGGGTCCCTCTGTGCAGTTCAGGCTGGCCCTGAGTTCACTTGGTAGCCCAGGTTGGTCTCAAACTTGCAACAATCCTCCCGCGTCAGCCTCCTGAGTGCTGGGATTACAGGTATGCACCACCACGCCTGGCAAAAATCTCCAATCATTTCTGCAGTAGGTGTGACCTGCTTGGAAGGATGCCTGATGAGCAAAGCTCTGTGTCACCTACTTAGGCAGCAGTGGATCACCTTGCCTGGGTATTAGGACAGGGGCTGGAACTGGCTGGATTTCTTGGGCTTATATTTTATGTTTAACGTTCTCAGTTTTTGTAACTGAAACTAAGGTGCACTCTAATGCTTGGTCCCACTTTTTTAATTTTAAGAAAATGTGTCTAACTAAATGTCAACTTATTTTTATATAAGACTAGACTAGTTATAGAGTGTAACAAAAGAAAGTCTTTTTTTTTTTTTTCTCAAAGAACATGGGTCAAGAGAAAGAATTAAAATGTGACATCCAGGTTTGGTGGCACACATCTGTAATCCCAGTATTCAGGAGGCTGAGACAGGAAGACAGTAAGATTGAGGCTAACTTTATCTCAAAGTAAGACCTTATCTTAAAATAAAAAAACTCTGGGGATATGTCTCAGTTGTAGAAGGACCTTGGTTTCAATACCTAGTACAAAAAGAAAAGAAACCAGGAGAAAAAGTGCCAAAAAAAAAACTTGTACAAATTTATGCCAGCCAGGCATGGTGGCCCAGGTCTGTAATCCCACCCTTAGGGTGCTGAGGTAGGAGAATCACACATTCAAGCCCATCCTGGGCAACTTAGTGAGTTATCAAGACTTTGTCTCAAAATAAAAAATGTTCAAAAAGCGCTCGGGATGTAGCTCAGTGTGAAGGCCCTAGGTTGAATCCCAAGTACTAGAAAAAAATTATGCACCATTTTAATGAAATTAAATATATAATTGTGAGAAATAACTACTGAAAGTAACACAAAACAAGTCCCTACTATACTACAGGTACAAATATTTATAAACCTGTTGAATACAAGGCACATAGCTACAAGTATTACAGTGAAAAACGATGCACATAATGTGTAATTTTCTGTGGCTGGAGAAATCTCTTTATGAAGGTACCAGGGCCTGGCCATCTGTTCAGTTGCAGCCACAAGATAAGGCCAAGAAGGCACTTCTGAGTTTCCACATCTGTCAGATGGAAAAAGGTATCAAAATACCTGCACAGACACCTAAGAAGCCTTTGGGGCTGTATTTAATTGTGTATTTATTATGTGGTGTGAAGTGTACAATCAGAACAGTAGACGTTCTCCCTCCACCTCATCCCCTCACTCCCAGGTGCACCAACACTGCCCAGTCCCTCAGGGTAACACACGTGGCCACTGCTCATAGCAAGTGAAACAGGATTTCTCTAGTTAATTTTGCTTCTCGCTGTTTACGATAATTATATAAAACCACAATTACCACTTCTATGAAAATAAAGTTGTAGCACTGGAAGAATTCAATAGCCTATCGAGAAAGATCTGGTAAGCAGAGGGCTTTGTAAGTGTCTTTGAGCTCTCTCACTTTGCTGAAACAGAGACTGCACTTCACAGAAAAGTCATCGCAGTTACCCCCTTTTCAGCGTTGAGACAGGGTCGCTCTAAAGTTGCTAAATTGCCCAAGCTGATCTCAAAACCTGCGATCCTGCTGCCTTAGCCTCAAGAATAGCTGGGATTACAGGTGCGTACCATCACTTTTTAAAATCCACCATCTCCAAGATCCAACCCATTTGCCAAAGCTTACTTTCCCTACCACGGCAGCCCTCAATTTTCCACGATGTTAGAGTAGAAATAATTAGAGGAAACAATAAGGAATACTAAACCCTTCAGGGTTGGCAACAGGTGGCAACCTTAGTGCTATGAGCACTGAAAGGAGCAGTGAGAAACCTGGACCACAGCTGCAAGTGAAGAGTCAAACCGACTCCAATGCTTATTTATGTGTGATCTTGACAAAAGTACTGTTTGTTTCAGGTTCAGTGTCCCTAAGGACACTGGGAAATACAGTTTTCTGAGGATTAAATGATGATACACTTGTACGCCATACGTAACTGTCTTCATATAGACAGTTCACCTACCTACTCTCCTGCGGATCATATCCCCAAGTATATCTCCACTACTGCCCTGTGACTACTTGCTAAAGAGGGACGCTGTCTCCTTTCCTGACTTCCATTGCTGGCTCCTCTCCACCCCAGAGGAGGCACAGAAACTTGCCTGAGCCATGATTCTGGGAGGAGAAACAAAGCCGGCAGCGCAGGTCTTTCTGCCTTCCTTTTGGAAGCATCTGCCCCCCGCGAGCAGGCATTCTCCTTGGCTTTCATCCCCACAAATGCAGGACCCTCACAACTCCCCATGACAAGGTGAGTCTGCTGAATTCTGAGGTTGAGTGTTAAGAAGTTTACTTAAACATGGATGTAAGTCACCCTCTCCCAACAGCTTTATTAGAGAGAGGTGATAATGTGGTCTCTCAAAGGCCCTCTTTTTATTTCTTTTTTTAAACCTTACTTCTCAGCTGGCACAGACACTGGATGAGGGAAGTCCAGTGCTATTTATTGCATCTCAAAGACCCCCAACATTTGGTGTGCGGGACTGAAATCTTGAAAAAGAGACATGAAACAAAATGGAGCATAACATGCCCACAGAATTTTTGACCCTTCAACTGAGGCTAGGACTTTGGGCCTTGGACCTTACTGAGGGGCCAAATGCTTTCACATAGATGCTTACATTAAGTCACATGGAGTTTTACACTTGTGCATTAGCTTAACTACTGAAGCTTTTAAACCATAGGCCACACATTATTTTGACCTTAGTGGTGACTGTAGTTATGGCAACTTTGTCGTCAGGTAAGTGGCTGTTTCTATAGAGACAAGGCTGCAAACACCAGGCTCAGAAGCCTTAGCAAAGACTTTAGGGCTTGCAAGTAACCCCAAGAAACAAACCATGGTTAGTGGCGGCGGTAGTACTGAAAGCTCATCTAAACTAAACATCAGCTGTGCAGGTGACCTCAGCATACACGGGCCATTCTGGCCTAACAAGCAAATGCCCTCTGTGCTGGCCTCAGCAAAGAGAACAGGGCATTAGCAGGCTTGGGTGGCTTCAGTGTATAGAAGGCTGCTGCTTGACCTTGAATTATGCCGGCACAGCTTTTCCTACGCAGGCATGGCTGAGGCAAAGATTAGGGAAAAGCGACTTTCTTCATTCAGGTCTTTCAGATATCAGAAAGTAGGACAAGTATTTGCTACAAATAAGCTGCAAGGCAGATGAACTTCTAACAGCACATGCATTACAAAATCTGTGAAGTTCTACCTTCAAATTGTTTGTGCTAGATGCACGTGGGTGATTCAAAGGGGACATGGAAATCAAGAGGCTTTTGATGATACTTCATGGGAGGAAGGGAGGGAAGAAGGAAGGGAGAGGCCAGGCACACACTGGCTGACCCAGACTTACTGGTTAAGACCAATACACTAAGAGATAAAAGCTGGGGGACAGGAGGAAATCCTTTCCCCACTCTTGATGCTTCCCTTGACATGGGACAGTATGAGCTTCTGAATATCATACTCCTGACTCATGCTGTCAGAACGAAGTGATCTGTCTGATTAGTGTGTCTGGAGGAGGACTGGACTTGGATGCACAGTGCAGCCTCTCTCCTGACCCATCTCCCTTGGGGCACCATTTCTGCTTTGTTTCTCCCCTTTTCTAGAAGGAAGGTCTATCCCAGACTAGTACTGAAATTCAGAAGCCTACGTGCCTTTAGGTAAAAGACAATTTTCCTTTGTCAATTTTATTAGCAATAAAAGCGACATTTTCATTTCCATCCGCCTTACTCCTTTGTCCTATCTCTCTGTTGGTTCAGAACATGGGCAGAGAACAGAATACTATTTATTAGGCCCATTCTTTTACAACATACATCCAAGACTGATCCTCAGAATTAAGTGAGGTTCTCCATCAGTCTTACCTTCCCAACGATCCCATTACCAGGATATCAGTAACATACATTCCTTCTCAAGAGCTTCACTACATCATTACTCCAAATACACAACCAGCACCTCACCCGGGGAAATCATTTCATTCTCTTCATGCAACATGGTATCTATGCATATTAAAGGTCCATGTGTGAAAGGCTTGTTTATCAGAGAGGCACTACTCAGAGGGCGAAATCTCTGAGGTCTTTCAGTCACGCAGGGTGCGCCCTTAAAGGGGAGTACGGATGTACAATAACATCTCCTCAGCCACAACTTCTTTTTTACATGGTCCTGATGACTGAACCTTTGAACACGTTAAGACTATCATGGAGCTGCACTCCCAGCCCTTTTCCTCATTTATTTTTTTCCACTCCCTGGCTATGAGGTGAGTGGTTCTGCATCACCACACACGGCAGCATGATGTGCTGCTCTCCAAAGGCCAGAAACAACAGGGCCAACCAATCACAGACTGAAACCTCTAAAATACGCCAAGATAAACATGTTCTCATTCTAAGTTAATTACCATAGGCATTTGTTACAATAATGGAAAGCTCACCAATATGATGCCCTATTAGAAATCCCCTCACTGCCAGGTGTGTGGCGCACGCCTCTAATACCAGCACTTGGGAGGCTGAGGCAGGAGGATCGTTATGAGTTCGAGACCAGCCTGGGCTACAAAGTGAGCTCAAGGCCAGCCTGAACTGCAGAGTGAGACCCCCTGTCTCAAAAAGAGAAAAAAAAAAGAAATCCCCTCACTTTACCAATCCACATCTCTGTCCTAATATCCAGCCAATTTTTATTTCAGAAAATCTTTCCTGATAAACATGATTCAGTCTGTCTACCTACCATGTATTATTGATAGCTATTTTTCTCTGTCCTTTATCTTATCTATTCTCATTTTTTGTTGTTTTATTGGCATTTTCTAAGTAGTTTTTAACATTTCTTTTTAAAACACTTTGATGGGGTAGGGTGTAGCTCAAAGACAGAGTGAGGACCTGGGTTCAATCCCCAGGACCTGCCCTCCAAAACTCTTAATTTTGGGGAACAAACCTTTGATATTCTGTATGGATGGATGGACGGATATGGTCCTGGCAATCAAACCCAGGGTCTTGCCACTGAGCTACACTCCGAGCTTTCATGACACTCTTGTTTGAAGCAAAGGCTTATAGTTGTGTCTAGGATCTAAGTCAATCTTACTGTCCTTTCAACAAAACGGAAGAGTAAGTTAGGGATTGCACAAGTACACCATTGACTAGGGCTTCCCCTTGGGCACTGCCAGAGGCCAGAAGGTATCAGTGCCAACAGAATCATAAAAAAGTCAAGGCAAAGCCCACAAAGGTGAAAATGAACTGCAGGGGTGAACAAGTGTGCCACAGCTGTCATGAGACGGTGGGACAACACAAGCATTTCACTTCTGCATCAGCCTATCATTTCACCTCGGCGCTGTCACCAGTCTGCCTCACATGTAAGTGATGGGTAGTCTTGGCCTGGCACTGTGCTCAGCACACAATAACTAAGTATGAGAAATATCATACGGATTCTGTGTACATCACCTAGAAAAGTAGACACATATGTCAATATTTTCAAAGCTCTCCAGGACCCAGCCCTCTCTGGTCTCTCCATCCGCACACGCCTAGGTTCTTCAGTCCAGCCGTACTGAACCATTACAGATTCATCAACAGACGAGGCTGCTTCAGGTTTCCATCCTTTCGTTCATATTACTCCCCATGCCTTTCTCTCCTGCGGTGCCAGAAGGAACACCCTACTTATCATTCCAAACTCCACTTGGGTAATTTCCTGACCCATCTTCAGGTAGAAGTGATGGTTCCTTCCTTAGTGCAGTGGATCTTGCTTGAATTCTATTAGAGAATCTGTACCATCTGTTACATGGAGCTTAAAGAAAGCGTTCATAATATGGTTTTATTTGCTCACAGATGCCTCGTATGAGATTCAGTTGTCAACCCCTTGATACTAGTTCCTAAAGCTTGCTAATCTCTGTATTCAGTGTATTTAAAACTCTGCACTTGGCATTTAATAGGTATTCAATAAGTTTCTATATAAGAATGACTGAATTAATCAATTAAAATGTTTTTTATTTAAAATGCAACACATATCAATTCCATAAACATCTATTAAGTCCCTACACATGCCAAATGGTATGGGGTTAGTGTGGTGTAGTAGAACGAATTTTGGCTTTCAGGAAGAAGAATCATTCTTTTTTGTCAATTATTAGTTATGTAATTTTGGGCAAGTTACTTAACTTTCTGATTCTCGGTATTTTTATTCACAAAACTGGGCAAGAAGAGGTATTATAAGCACTAAATGTATAACTTCAGCAAAGTGGGAGAAGCCAACAGGCATTAAAAATAAGTTTAGGAGGGGCTGGGGATTTAGCTCAGCGGCAAAAATGCCTGCCTGGCAAGCGCAAGGTCGTGAGTTCGGTTCCTGGTACCAGAGAAAACCACCGCCCCCCCCCAAAAAAAATAAGTTTAGGGTCTGGCATATAGCTCAGTGGTACAACATTCACTTAGCATCTGTAAGTCTTTACGTTCAATCCACAATCCCACCACTACCGAAAGGAAAAAAAAAAAGTAGTTCTAGTTCTGGTATATTATTGTATATTACAATAACTATATAAAGAGCCAGACAAAGGATTTTGAATGTTTTCATCATACAAAAGTGACAAATGTTTGAGGAAACAGATATGTTTACCCTGACTTAAAGTTACAGTATAATTATATTCAAAGTTAGCAACATATAGACTGTAGTACAGAGGTCCATGGTAACTATATGTACAAGAACTCCTTCTACTTGATATTGGATTTTGAACCTGTATTTTAGTGGGCTTTATTTAGAACAGATGGGAAACTAAGAACGGATCTTAAAGAAAGCAACAAAATGATACAAAAATAAATCTAGTGAGAAAAATTAAGGAATCACCAGCTTATGTACAGAAGACCAATAAATTAACCCAACATCAGTTTAAAAAATAAACGTAATTCATGTTTCCTTGTCTTTTCTGTTCTCAAAAGTATCACCACGCATTTAAAAAATCAGTTCAAATAAGCCATTATCATTCTTAAAATAATTATATACTGATATATTACATGCAAATATACTGTATCATAACAAATAAAACCAGTGTATGCAAGTAACAAACATTACATGTACCTCATAAATATGTGAAATTTTCATATTTTATGTACCATCTAAGAAATAAATTTAAATAAAAAATTTAGCTCCTTTCCAAGAAATCTTGAAAGGTTTATAGACTAGTAAAGACGACAGACAAGAATAAATACCCTTAATGTAAAGGAATGGATAATTACTACAGTAACAGGTATTCTTCAAACATGAAATTCTGCTGAGAGATTCTAGAAGAAGGGATAACAGAAAAGGCAGAGAAAGAAAGAGTAGGTAGGTACATTCTTCTTCCTTTCTCCAAAATTCAAAGAGAAAAGCATGTCTAAGGTCATACCACCCTGAATGTGCCTGATCTCGTCTGGAGAAAAGCATCACCCAAAGGCACAAAACCACTAAAAAGAATTATGTATCTAGGAAAGAGAAAATGGTCCAGTAAGACTTACAGATAAAGGGTTGGGGTACAGCTCAATGGCACAGCATTTGTCTACCATGCACCAGGCCCTCAGTTGGATCCCCAGCCCCTCCCCCTAGACTGACAGAAATCCCCCACAAAAGAATTCAGAACTGATGACCGGGCTTAAGTTTTGAAGGGGTTTACAGCTAGCATCTGCAGCCACTGGGAGCCACTGGAGCTGTTTCAGCAAAGGAGTGCATGGCTAAAGCTCTCATTTAGAAAGCAAACCTAAGCATTAACGTGGACTGTGGGCTATAGTGGGGAGGGCTAGAGACAGAAGCTAGAAATATATTAATGCTAAACAGCAACTGTTAATCCTAATCACTAAGTTCTTGCATTACAGGCTAAAGCACCAAATACCAGTAACAATCTCAATACCAGGGCTTTTTACTTTTCTTTTTGGTAGTGCTGGGCCTCAAACCCAGGGCTCATGTATGTTAGGTAAGTGCTCTACGACTGAGCTACACTTTGAAGGGACCTACAGAAGAAGCGTGCAGAAAAGATCACTTGAATATCCTTCTGTGAGAACTCTAGAGAGAAGGAATAAGATTACAACGTATTTTCTTTCTTTTTAACAAAAACACTCCTATTTTACTGTCAATACATGGTGGATATACATTTTTAAAACTTACCTTTGACAGTATCCTGGGGCAACACAAGCCTGAGACGGTAAGTCTAGGTTACTTTCAGTGCAAAAAACCAAAACCCTGAAAAGAGAGAAAAATCATGATGAGTTATGTGCTCCATGCAAGACATCTGGGGAAGCAGCAGAGCACGCAGCCTTGTCCAAATCCTCGTCCTTCCTGTCCAGCTACTGTCTCCTGGGCCAGTGTTCCACCCTCTCCACGCCACAGCCTTCTCATCCCACACTGGAACAGTGACTGAATCTTTCTGAGAGGGTTCTTTTGAAGTTTAAGTAAAGTATGTGTAAAGCACTGAGTACATGTAGGGCATATACTCAATAAAAGCAAACAGTTATTAATGTGAACTGGAACACTTTTTGAACACACATTAAAACCTTTGTTTCTTTCTTTTTTATTATTTTTTAAAGACAGGGTGTTGTTATGTAGTACAGGCTGGCCTTGAACTCACTTATACAGGTTAGGCTGGCCTTGAACTCATGGCGATCCTCCTGCCTCAGCCTCCTGAGTACTGGGATTACAGGCATGCACCATCACACCTGGCGAAAACCTTTATTAAGTCTTTACATTTATTTATTTATTTTCTTGCTTGCTTGCAGTATTGGGCACAGGGTCTTCACAGTGAGCTATATTCTTGGCTCTTTTTATATCTTATTTTGAGATGGGGTCAGTAAGTTGCCCAGGCTGGGCTCAAACTTGCAATCTTCCTGCCTCAGCCTCTCAGAGTACTTGGATTGCAGACACGCACCACCACACCTGGCCACAAACTTTTATTTCTTATTTTATTTGTTCTACTTGAAAAACGCCAAATTGCCTTCCAGCTTTGGCTGTCTTACAATCATTTTAGACTCAACAGAGGGTTTCTCTCCATCTCCACTATCTTCATCAAGGTCTCAGGTTAGAATCTGAGGTTTGTCCTGAAATCTCTCCCCTCACAGGACCCCGTTCACAAGTCCTATCATTTCTGCTTTCAAAATGTACACCTCCCATCCACCCACAATTCACTTCTCACTGCTATTTCATTTCTCTCTCATGGAGGTCTCTGAGCTGGTCCCCAGACCTCTCTCACTCCTCCACATCCATTCCCAAGTAATACCTGGAATCAATTCATAGCAAGCTGCTAATAAAGGCAGTGACCATTTTATTTATTTCATGATGGAATGTTTCTCTCTGAAATATATACTCCTACTTATGTGAGTACATAGATACACCAACACTATCTGAATTAAAAATGGCTACGCCTTCATTTAACAGTGGCAGGAACAAACGCCTGAGGCTTGGCTGCTCAAGGCTGCTCCTGCAGCACCTGTGAAGGCGGCCAAAACAATGGTGACCGAGGCAGAAAGTTATCTCTGATGAACTATTGTAATGGTGTCAACAAGCAGTCACTATTTGGGAAGTCAGTCCTTTGTTTCACAATCAACCTACTGCTTCCCTCAGGGACAGCGCATTCCATTCTCTGTGGCTACAGACTTCAAGGAGTAGCTTTAGGCCCACATTATGTCAGTGTTTGAGGCAGGTACACCACAAATCCTGAAAGCACCCTGTGACTTCTCTGTCATCATCTCTATCTCATTTAACACTGCTTCAATGAATAATCTCAGATGGAATGGTGCTGGGATGAGAATTAGTAATATTGTAATTATTCTCCCTGACCCTGTACTACACACATTCTTGTGCCAGCAGTCTCTTTCTCAACAGAAAATCTGACCTTTCTTTGTGTTGCCATTTAAATTGAGGCAGTAACTACCTATCACCTTTAAGATAAAATCCAAGATCTCCCAGGCCCATCTTCATTTCCCACTTTATTTATGTGGCTCATACCTGGTTGCCATTTAAATTGAGGCAGTAACTACCTATCACCTTTAAGATAAAATCCAAGATCTCCCAGGCCCATCTTCATTTCCCACTTTATTTATGTGGCTCATACCTGGTTTCCTTGCCTAAGATACATGCACTAATATTTGCTAGGCCCTTTGCAAATTCCTTCCACTCCTCTTTTATCTGCCTCCAATGTTCTTGCCAGGATTTCTTCTGTACTGGAGGCTGTATGCACTTTTTTTTTCTTTGGGTGCTAGGAAATGAACTCAGGACCTTGTACTTGCCAGACAGGGACTGTGCTACTGAGCTATATCCCTGACCCTTGCACTCACATTTGAAATAAATAAAAATTAATCCCCAAATTATTCAAGTATTCAGGATTAACTCAAGTTTCTACTGCACTATTTCCCTTTTAAGGAATAAATAATGGTAAATTCCATCAAAACATCACCTTGAAATATTAAGAACTACTCTGTAATTCTTCTATCTGATCATGTAGTAGGGAACTATGACCCATTCCAGTTTTCTCTATTCTCTTGAAAAGCAACCAAAGTCACCTTGGAGGTCACAATAGGGTTCTGTGATCTTGGACTAATCAATCCCCAGGCTCTGCTGAAAGGTAAGCAGACTTAAAGAGTTCTTCCAGGCTGGGCATGGCAGTGCATGCCTGTAATCCGGGCACTCTGGAAGGCTCAGGCAGGAGCCCTGAAAGTTTGAGCCCAGCCTCGGCAAACTTGGTAACTCAGACCCTTACTCAAAATAAAAAATGAGAAAAAGGGCTAGGGATGTAGCTTGGTGTAAAGGCTCATAAAAAAAAAGTTTCTCCACCTCAAGAGCCAGGTATGTAACTAAACTTATAGGATATAATTAGAACCTAGGGAATACAGGTGAAAGAAATTCATATTCAACAAACTACATTTACTAAATTTCCTAGTATCACCTCTGACATGGCAGGGTTTTAATTCTGAAACTTGCCTATTCAGCATGATGCTTATTTGTTCAGTACTGTCCCCTCTGCTTTTCGCCAGTCTTCCTAGGACTAACCAGTGTCACCAGTTTGGTATGTCGTATAATTCTTGGGATGCAGATTGTTAGGAATACACTATAAACTTTTAACCAAGTCACAAATAACACTGAAAGCCACGACTGCCTACATTGTTGGCAACAGGCCTAACTTCAAGCAAGACGTCCAGAGAAAAGTCCTAAGCAAAGCAGCAAACATGAGGGGGCAGCGAACACCACCAAGGCCTTCCCAGAAGGAGACAGAGGGGCAGACTGGAGGGCACTACCCGTCTGGTTGGCCCAAGTGGGAAGAAGATACCTACAAAATTAGGTAGCACAAATCATAACATCAAAAGCCTAAGGAACACAGGTGGAGGCAGATCTGCTACAAGCAGATGTATTTTCTTAGTAAAAGAGATTTACTGCCATTCCAAGATCTGGAAATGCTGCCTTTTATGTTTCAAACCACTCCTATTTCAGCTTAACACTGGAAATTCTGTAAAAATGTTCAAGTCTGCTCATTCCTACAAACACTCCCTTTGGTCCTAAAATCTGCTCTAGCTCCCCTCTTCTTTGTCCTAATCAGGCCTCTTGAAAAAGTAGTTTCTCTTTATGGCTTTAATGTCCTTATCTCAAATTCACTCCTTAATCATCACAATATGGTTTCTGTTCCTATCAATCCCAGTTGTCAAATACAGCGGGCAACTATTAACCATCCCTGCATTTAAACACCAGAACCACCTGAAACTCTTGCAATCCGGAGCTTCTTTCCTACCTAGACATTAAGGATACTGATGATGCAGTCAATGGGTCAGGGCACCGTTAGTTGTCCATCTCCTGGCTGTGTCTGGGTCCTCCTGTCTCCCTGGATTTGCAGCCAGTCTCATGGGCAGGGATTGAGAAGAATGGTTACGAAGAGGGTCTGCTGCCAGCGCCTACCTGGCAAGCGCAAGGTCGTAAGCTCAATTCCCGGTGCCAGAAAAAAAACAAACCCCCACTCAAAAAAAAAAAAAAAAAAAGAGGGTCTGCTTCGGTGCTCAGGTAACTGGAGGACAGGTCCTGGTGACGGATGTAAACTTAATTCCTAGCTTTGAGAAAGGAGTGTAGTACTGATCCCACTCCGACAAAATGTTTAGTCCCTTTACCCCACGGGAAGGGCCCAATCCACGGCTTTTGGTTCCTCTTACAGAACATTCCCCAGAGACTTTTCTGGCTGGTTTCTCCCAGTGCTTTCCATACTCCCCTTGTCCTCTCTACTACCATACCCTTATCCTTTCTCACAGAGATAACTACCACCTTCATCTTAATGACTCCCAACTCCCTCTAGCGCTGACTTTCTTAGAACCTCCGAAAACATCTATATAATTGATTCTAATAGCTCTATCCCTCTCATGATGCTAAAACTCAACACACCTACAACTCCAAAAAGTCTGTCACCAAAGTGTGTTCTCTTTCTGCCTCCCTCAGAAATGCTGTCATGCCGTTTTAACCAAAATTTTGAAGCAGTTTTATTTTGTTTTAGTACGGGAGACTGAACCAGGGCCTTTGCACTGGGCTGTATGTCTGGGTTTTTGCTTTTTGAGACAGGGTCTCTCTATGTAGTTCAGGCTGGCCTGGAACTTGTGGCAATCTTCCTGCTTCAGCCTCCTGAGGGCTTAGGTACCTGAGAGATTAGGTACTAACAATAACGCCTGGCTCCTGGCCTTTTAAATATCTTCTCCCAGGTGATCTGGATAGGTCTTTCCTCTTCAGTCATAATTCCCAACTAAAGTTGCTACATATTTTCCTAGGTTTGTGGGTGTGCTTAATGGTTATAAGCTTCCTGAAGGCAGGGCCTCAGTTTTATTTAGCATTGTATCACCATTATTTAATACATTGCTAGCCCAAGGGATAATCCAAATAAATTCTTGTGGAATAAACACATATATTTTTAGAGAAAAACAAACAAGATTCTGAGCTTCCCCAAATAAGGATTCTATTTGTCAGTCATAAGTCTACCAGGGCATTGTGCTGCTTGCACAGGACCCATAGTGAAGCACTGAGAGAAGCAGTGAAGGAAACTGGAACTGACGCAAGGACTCTAGCATAAAAACATCACGTTTGCTTATATCTTGGAAGTCAGAAAGGTACACAAAACTCAATCTGAAGCAGGAATGATGAGAAAAACTTGCCCTACCCCGGGTTATGTTATGGCTTGTATCTAGATGTCCCCCCAAAGCATCATGCAGTCGTAAGTGGGGCTT